ACATTAACAATTCTTATTGTCAACATCAGTCAAATTGTTTGCATGACAAAAGAAAGTGAATAAAATTTTAAATAATTCTTATTTAATAGTTGAGGTCATGAGTCAATAAAAGTTAAACCACCATGGAAAACCTGGAAACACTAGACGACCGTTTCTTCCAGTTGTGGGACTCCTCAACAGTGCACATCCACGATTCTGCCTCGCGAGATTCGAACCCAGAACCTATCAGTCTCGCGCACAAGCGCTTAACCATTAGACCACTAAAATGAACCACTTGAAAATTCAATGTAAATCTGATTCATTTTGGAATTTGTACACGTGTTAGATGAAACAAACTAAGGAGAAGTTTATTTCATTATTGTCTGAATTAATTTTACTCCTATCATTAGATGAAGACCAAAATGGTCAATTAAGATTAATGTGTCCACTAAAAAAGCTTCTTCTTTGTTGAAGATTTAAAAAAACGAAGGAACAAAACAAGGATGTTAAATTTTATTAAAAGACAAATCAATTCCAGAATATAATAGATGATCATTATTTATGATCATTAAGTGTGATCATTGAATTGGAAAGATATTAATTAATTCTCAAAATAAGTACTAACCATATTTGAGTTAAATTAACTATTCTTCTTGTTAGAAGACTAAAGTAATATCTATAGTCAACATGTCGGTCTCATAAAGAGTCAATGTATGTCTTAAATAATTGGATAACAGTCACATAATATTTACTAGATTAATATAATATTTTACTAATAATGAGTATAGATGGGAGGACGTTGTAGAGATCGTTGTAGGTTGTAAGTTGTATTTGTCGCAAATCGACTTCTGTTCATATACCTTTGGAAATCAGGCTGCAATAAATAGCCATTTTATCTTAGTATGGAACAAATCAGGAGTGAATGCCTACAAGCTCTTAATAGATAAAGCCCAAAGTCTTCATGGCTTACTATATACGCTCAAATATTAGTAGTCAACAGGAAACCCTGGACTACCTCCAACCACCACCACCAGACATTGGTAAATTGTTGCTCAATTTCATGGATTGGTTGAAGTTAGAAATTAAGAGGGTTAGATGCCGATTCAGTGGTCTAGTGTTTAAGTGTCAAGGCGAGAGATTGTTAGGTGTTGGGTTCTAATCTCGTGAGGCGTGGTCGTGGATGCGTACTGCTGAGGAGTCCCATAATAGGACGAAACGGTCGTCCAGTGCTTCAAGGTTTCCCATGGTGATTTAACTTCAATTGACTCATGATCTCAACTATATAAAATATAAATCAACAATTATTAGTTATATGTATTATGCTTCTGTAAAATTATTTTAGATTATAAAATCATATTCGTGTACAGTCAACTTTTGAATTATCTCAGATAAAAGTGTGTTTTCATGCACTTTTTCTATATTCATTACATCTAACAACATTGTGTGCAAAATTTTCCACGTTCTAATAAAAAATAGAATGTTGTCACCCACCACAAACATATACAAAAAAGAGAACTTCATTTGTTCCCAAATTTGTTTAGAAGCTTAGATTTTTGCTTCTACGAAGAATTTAATCACTATAATATAACATGAACACATTGCATATTACAGATAGCTAACTAACTCTGTATATATGCGTGTATGTGTATGTAATGATAATCTTTTTAAACGTTTATCTTGTTTGTTTATTTATTTATTTGTTTTTTTTCCCTCCCCGTATTCATTCAGTGATTATTTCTTCTGTTCATAAAACAAAATTTATCATTACCATTATAATCTTGAATCACTCACTGTCTAGCTACTTCTTTGTTTTGTGCTTACATTACTTTTATAGAATTTTTTTGTACTTCCTACTCCAAATAGAAACATATTAGTTTTATGTAAACAAACAAATTTAAGTTCATAAAATCAACAATCATCTAATCAGTTACTTTTTATGTACAATGGATATATATATATATATATATATATATATATAACGTTCGTACTTAACTTCTGTGCGTTATTACAAGGATAATACAAGCATTTAGCAAATACTTCAGTACGTTATCCTTCTATTTATAAACATACATATATACCTATGTGTACCTTTCTTCATTTTATTAAACATTAGTAAAGTTGAAACACGCAATACATATGTAGAGTAACTGTTGGACAACACTTACATTTGTATATTCTGTTCAATAACGAAAAATAGTATCTCATTCATAAAATATACAAATAACTAATCATGTAAGAATAAAAAAAGAGGAAATATCTGTGATCTAATTTATACTCCCCTCTTGTTTCTACTTTTTTTCCCCGTTTTTTTTTCTGTTGTTGCTTTCATAGATATAATAAATAATAAATAATAATAATAATCCGTTATCACTTATTTTCTTTATTTAATGTACAGGTAAACGGATAGATTTTTAAACATGATTGACAGTTATATTTTGGATGAGTTTGTTTAGAATAACATGACTTAATTTAATAAGATAATCATTATGGATTTACTTCAAACACCTTTTTAAACTAAGAGCTCATTTTATGCATTTCCTTTTAGGTTAAATCTAATGATCATATATATTTCAATATACAAAATTAATCGTATAGACACTATTAGTAAAGATGGGAACTAATTATTTAGACTAAAATGAGTTATATCATTATTAGTAAGGGTTTTAATTAACATGTTGTTAATATTTTTACTGGATTTCGGTTACTTCTTATAACTATATGTATATCATGTGAGGAGTCCGATATATTTAGTTCCTCACAATTTTTATAAAATAGATGGGTTGTGGCTAGCAGCAGAAACCAGAATGCGCATTTCAGCCTATTTCTGACATGTCAGTTGGACGTAACTGTATCCCAGTATTGATGTTCATATTGGAACTCGAACCCATTACTCTTCATATCAAACACTTAACGCGTTATGAATCGAGCCACTAATTTATTCAACGGGGATGGTGTTTGTTTTATTATTAGTAAGAGTTTGAACTTTTGTGGAATATGGTAATAAATGCAGTGACTTACAATGAAGGCTGTGATGAATATATTATTATTTTTCCAAGCCTAAGAATAAACGGAGTTCAATTGTTTAATCCAGAATTACCGTCATTTGCATTCTTAATAATTATCGTGAAAGTTCTTATAAATAGTTATTTCATAAGTGATTTTAATAAAATCTACATATTAGTATGAAAGGTTAGTTATATTAATACGAAATCTTTGTTCTTCTTGACCAGTAATAATTAAATTATTAACAGATAATTAGTGTAATTATTCATTTGATTACTTTTAAATTTTGTAGTCACATTCATGAGTCAGTCGAGGCTTAATCACCATGGAAAACCTAGAATCACTAGATGGCCGTTTCGTCTTATTGTGGGACTCCTCAGCAGTGTGCATCCACGATCTCGCCTCACGAGATTCGAACCCAGGACTTATCAGTTTCGCGCGCGAGTGCTTAACCACTAGACAACTGAGCTGGCCAGCATCCAACGGTATGAATTTCTAACTTCAACCGCCGTCCAATTGACTCATGAATTCAACTATTAAATTACTATAATATACAAGAAACCCCTCCCTGATTATAATCATTATATATTCACTATTGACTGTCTCCAAGAAGCATTTCCTGGAATTATAATGAGGAGCAGTGACCAGTGGAGTTCAACCAGGTGTGTTGTGAGATAGTAACTTATAGAAGAAATTGGTGAGTGGTTACTCGAATTCGTGGGTTGGTTGAAGTTAGACATTACCATCGTTGGATGCCGGCAAACTCAATGGTCAAGAGGTTAAGCGCTCGCTTGTGACAGTGATAAGTTTTGAGTTCGAGTCCAGCGAGACGGGATCGTGGATGCACACTACTGAGAAGTCCCACAATAGGACGAGACGGTCGTCCAGTGTTTTCAGGTTTTTCAGAGTGGTTTAGCTTCAATCGACTCATGAATTCAAGTATTACTAAAATCTCCACGAAACTTCTCTCTGATTTTAAATTTAAATTATTTCCTTAAGACTTTCAACTTTTCATGCGGTTACACTAAGTACTTTCACGATTTAACTCATCTAAGGATTTGAAATTTCTTTTTCGATCTCTTCCAACTGACGATCATTTATAATGTATGAAAGTTGCTGCTTATTAAGATAGCAAACAGCTAATAATAATTTAAACATGATTATGAAATTAGTTTATTCCTCATAAGTAACTAATTAAACTCAATATTCATCCCCGCTTGGACATAATTATCAAAATATTTCGAGTTATATATGATATAATATTTCTCAGGTCAAATTATATTTTGATAGTTTTATGAAGACCTCTTCTGATTTCCAAGAAATTCGATGATACACTTATATCAACTAAGAAATACAAGAAACTTTGAAGGACGGATTAACCGCTTTTCTTTTATATTTTTTGTTACTAATACCACATTACATCATTACTACCACCTTCACCACCGCAACAACCACAACTTGACCTCAGTACCTTTGTCAGATTATTTTTTCTTTGAAAAGCCTAACAATAATAGTGATAAAATGATATATTTATAATAACTTGTATATGTTTTCTTTTTAAATACACATGACATTTTTATATATAAAAAAATCCATGTTATACAGATTTTACATCCCTTTTATTTATACATACATTTGAATAGTAATACTATTGTATATAAAACATTATGGTCATTTCCAGTTCGTATACAATACCATTTAACTAGGATATAATTAATATGAATAGTAATTGCTACTATTAAATGAATGAAGAGAAGAAAAACCAACAAAATAACAAAAACAAAAACAGTAAGCAAAAGTCTGAATGAAAACTGAACTAAACAATGACAACAGGATAAATAAATTGTAACTTAGAACCAAATAGTACCATGTCTATTAGAATAGAATAAAGGTTAATAGAACTATTTGGATAATTTACTGTTTATTGAAACTAAAAATAGATTTGCATTTATGTATATTTATACGTAGATATCCTTAAGACTTTTTTTTGAAAACTTGAATAGAATTATTGTATTATTTGTTTTTGGTTTATAATTAATTTTTATAGATGGGTTTCATTGGAACCTGGAGGAAGAGGATTAACGAATAGTGTATATTTGATTTGAATTCTGTATCTCTATAAATAATGTCGAAAGATAAAAGAAAGCAAATTGATAATTAGATAAGAATAGAAAAAAAACTGTTTATATATAAACAGCTAGCTTAATAGTGAGACAAGAAATATGTGGAATTTTTTGTTCAATTTAAAAGAGTAGATTTCATCACAGATTAAAACTAGTTGGAAAATTATTAAATTAGTGTTTCATCTCAGTTTGGAACTTCTCAATAGTACAGGGGCATGGTTCAGTATAAAATTGGACCCAATACCTTCCACGTCATGAATTGAGCATGGTTCACCTTAACCATTGAATAGAATCCCAATGGTTCATTCTTCAATCTTCAGCCATTTTGCAACATAGTTTAACTAACACCAAATTCTATTGATAATAACTGTCAAACTCTTGCTCTACCTGAACTTCTTCCTGTATGGCTTCTTAATGGAGCTTTAAGAAATCCATTATGGTGTCAGACACATACCGATAACTATTCACTTTCTTATTGATATCCAGTGACTTTTCAGTCGATTTCGTTTGGTATTGAAAATTATATTCAGATGGAAAAATTAACTATTTATTGATATACATTTACTTCGTGCTTTACAAACATTCTTGTTGTTACTATGAGAAATTAATGGAAACGATTTAAAATCCAGCGAACAGTGAATAATTCTTCATTCTAACGTAACATTTCCAGTCGATTCACAACACTGCTTTGTTGACGACTAAACTAGTTGTATTTATATTTTGGTACTGAATAGTCAGTAAATGACAATTCAATCATTCAATATTTCTATGGTCCATTTAAGTTTTGTGGTCTCGTTTCATGAAACTGTCTTTAGACAAAATGAATCTGCAAAAAATGCATCATTGGTGATTTACTTCATTTTCTTCACTCATAAATTCATTGAAATGGATAGATATAAGAAAAATATAATGTAGTCTATTGTTGAATTATTATTAAATTGAGCATGGTTTGAATTTATGCACTACTGAATTTATGCACTAAGACGATGTCATAAACCAATACAAAAATATACAATTCATGGGGAGTAACATTTAAGGTTCTCTTAAATAACGGATTAGTCAAAAGTCGGTTTATCTACTAAGTAACACAAATTTATATTTAACATCTTTGATTTTCATACTGTAGTGTCATAGTTGAAAGCATTCAATTTGATAAAGAATGAAGCATTTGGTATAATAAGTTCTCTAGCTTTGTTGATCTTTTGACACACGTCAATTGGATTCACATAATAAATTGCTGATTACATAATGGTGGGTACTATTCATTTAAAAGTAATCAAATTTAACGATTAAGAAATATAAGTAAAATTTGTAAGAATTAGTCTATCAACTGATTAAGATTTAATGGTTGAATTCATGACTCGATTTAAGCTAGACCACCCTGGAAAACCTGGAAGCACAGGACGATCGTTTCGTCCTAGTATGGCAATGTGCATCAAAATATAGTCAAAATATCAACAATGGAATAATTCAAACCATCACAAATCAAATTGGTTTATTGAAATACACATTTCGACCTATTTATGGCGTTAAACAAAATTCACATAACCCTGGACCCGGGTTTCGTGCTACTTGGCACTCGTCAACAAGGTGTACCTGTAATCTTGAGGGAACTGATGCTCCCTGACGGATTCGATCCCGTGTCACTCAGCTTCACAGTCGGAGACGTTACCACTGTGCTATTCGGGCCGCGACCGACCTACTGTAGGACTGAGATGTAATCATGATTGATTGATCACTGGGTGGTGATCATTGTCATGCGTGTCAAGTCAAATTCACATTTATCATCATTTCACTTGTTTCCAGTCGTATTCGTCCATTTGTAGTTGCTGAAAAGTTATGTCGTAGCTACTCAAAACAAACTCAAATGTGTAGTTAGCAGTTTACAAAGGAAAAAAAGTTTTCTTCTTATCAAATACAACACGTCGTATGTTCAATGTGTTACTATTTATTATCAAAGTAAAAATCAAAAGTGAAGTTAATACCATATTCAAAACATTGAATACATGAAGTTTGAGCGATATTTTACAACTGTTGTCAGCAATCGTCGATCAAAATATAACAATCTTTTTTGAATCAAATATCCATAAGTTTATAGAACGCGACATGTATCATTCAAACGTCATTAAGAAGAGTTGTCACCTTCTCCAGAGAGATGAAAAATTTGATATTTCAATGCCCTGAATATTAATTAAAAATTAATAAGTGGGAGATTTTAGATATTTGTGGAAGTTTTCAACGGGACATATTCGTATTAATACAGAAAAATAGAATAGAATAACCTTAAGAATAACACCAAACAAACTGTTCTAATAACCATGATTAACATTAATTGGCAATTACGAAATTAATTGACTTTCAATATAAAAGCGGCTTTTCATTCAGTATCATAATTAATAGCTAAAAGTTGCAAGATAATAGATCTTCAGTATATCTAAGTTTTATCCAGTTCATATTGTATTCAACTTTGGCGCCATATTTAAATATAGATCAGAAGGGGTTTTGTGGAGATTTCAGTATTTTCATAGTTGAAATCATGAGTCAATTGAAGCTAGACCACCATGGAAAACCTGGAAGCATTGGTTTATCGGTTAAGTGCTCTGGCACAAGACTGGTAGGTCCTGGGTTCGAATATCGGGAGTACGGGATCGTGGATATGCACTGCTGGTGAGTCCCATAATAGGACGAAACGGCCGTCCAGTGCTTCAACGTTTTCCATGGTGGTCTAGCTTTAATTGATTCATGATTTCAACTATAAAAATATATAAATATGTCAAAGACTATGAGTATAATTACACCAATTGTTTGAAAAAATATCATTGAGATTTATTTCTGTATAAAGTAATTAAAACAATAATTCTGTGGATTATTTCAAATAAACACTTATAACAACTCACCTTCAATAATTGGAATGCAATTACTTCACAACAATATTCTTTTGTTATTCTCATTACTATTGTCATGATTCTTCACTTGGACTAGTGGTTACTTGTTGATTTGAATGATTTTTATGTAAACACAATGATCTTGCATATTGTTGTGTTTCTTTATTTAATAAATTCAAATTTAATGAACTATTACCCTGAAATAAGCTGGACAAATGTTCGTCGTATTGAAGGAATGGTTTAGTATATAAAATATTATTATTGTTATTTAAATTAGGAGAATTTAAGGGAGGTAATTTCTGTCCATGAGATTTTTGTTGATGTCCAGTCAATGGATATTGATTTGACAAAGATGTTGTTATTAAATGATTTTGTTCTTGTGCCCGTTGTAAATTTTGTTGATAATACAAATAAAATGCTGCTAATGTACTAGGAGAAAATAAAGATGACGAATCATTTGGGATGTCAATGTTACTATCAGTGGTACTACTAGTACTACTATTATTACCGACGGAAGTAATTGGAAAAGATGAGTTTCCTACTAATTTCCGATTTACATTGTCATCATTCATATTATTATTATTTCTGATAATGTCAGGAGAATCAGCAATTACAGTATTCATTTTCATTTGGTGAGTAAATGATTCATTTGAAGTTTTCCATAGATTCTTAGGAGGCTGTTGTGAGTCACTATTTTCTTCTAAAGACCAATTATCACATATATTATTCTGTACATTCATTGTTGTTTTGTCATCAAATAATTCATGTCTAGAGTTTTGTGAATTATTATTTTGCTCGTTCATCATATCGACTAATGACCAGATTTTACGTGTTTCCAATTTAACATTTGTACTGGATTTATTTGTACAATATTCTTTTTCTTGATTCAATGAATTCACTGTGGACACATTGGTCAATACGTGATCATTATAGTCTAAACTTGGACGTTTACTTGGTATGCAATCTAATTGATCACAATTATTTGTAAAATTACGCAATCTACTACTTAATTTACTTTTATTACTTTCAATGATTGTTTGTAAATTTCCATTTTTATCAAATAATTTACTTAATGATAATTTATCATAATTTTCTGTATTTTTACTTAGTAAATAATGTTTTAGACCTTCCAAACCGGTTATTCCTTGTAAATTATGTTCATTAGTATTACTACTATTAACATCATGATCATTAGTATTAACTTTATCATCATTATCATCGTCACAATCAATGTCTTCATTTTCAATAGATTGTTCATCGTGTTCAACATCTGATAAACAATCTGTACGTAAATTCCATGTTACTTTATTCTCTTTTTTCAATCGTCTTCTAGCATTTGCAAACCATGTTGATACTTGTGTTAAACTCATTTTTGTAATAAGTGCAAGCATGATTTTTTCACCTTTTGTAGGATATGGATTTTTACGATGTTCATTTAGCCATGATTTAAGCAAACTAGTTGTTTCTCTAGTAGCATTTTTACGTCGATTTGTATTAGTCAATTCAACAGGGCAACTGAAGATATGAATGGAATAAAAAAGGAACTGATGATTAGTCAAAAGTTATTTATAAAAATATGTATTTATTATCACTAAAGGGTGTTGGGGATATTTTTAAATTCCATAGTTTACATCATGGAATGATCTTAATAAGATGATCATTAGAAATCAACTGGCACTTAACAGCTGTTTCATTATAGAATGTGCCTCATCAATAGCGCGAACCTATAACTACACAACAGATCAAACCTAGGGCCTTCACGTCTCATCCCAAACGCCTAATTTTTAGATCACTGTTTACATGTCTCATTTCAATAAATCCACGGTACTGCATAGCCATCTTCCAATGCCATCGACGGGTAAGTGGCTACTGCTAAACTATCATATAATATACATCATAAAATAGCGGTAATAAGAGAATTGTTGGAAATTGCAGAGCGCCAGAAAAATGGTTCATCCATGATAAAGTCCTCTTAATAGTGCTTAACATATTCTGTATATAAAGTCAAATTCATTACCTTCAATTTTCATGACGAGCAAAAATTCTCAATACATCATTGTGTATGTTAAATGTCATATAGTTTTCTTTTTGATGTATAAACTGTTGTCTACTTGGTGATCACAGTAGTTATTATCATTTAAATTGTTTTATGAAAACTCAATAATTGCTAATACACTAATCTCATCACTTCTTAACAATACGCTGATCTAAAACACCTTTGCCGCTTGCAACAAAGATAATACCGTTTAAACGCTTAACCAGTTATGGATAATTTAAAAAGTTCAAAGTAAACGATCATATGTTACATTATTGTGGGGTAGGCTATAAATTTATTCACCAAAAAGTATTATACAACAAAGAATCTTATGATGTGTACATTTAATTAAAAAAAGATTTTTTTTTATCACTAACCAGGATCCATTATAGAAGTTTAATAAATGAGGATCAATATTAGATGATACTGCATTTTTCTGAAGATGTTGCCAACTTTCCAAATTTTCCTTTAATTAAAAAGAGCACAAGTGAAATGAAGTAATCAATATTAAATATATCTATGTTAAACATCATTTATTACTCGAAATTGATATTATTAGTAGTCCATTTACTAATGAATGATAATTATAATATATAGAGATATATAAGAATTTACTAAAAGATAACAATTCGAACTTTCATTATTCTACAATATTTTTCGATAAAAAAGCAAAAAACAAAACACTTTCCTTCACTCCATATAAATATATATTAGGTGGAGGGGAGTTTTAACAATTACAAGGGAGTTCTATTAATAATCATTAACCCCCCATAAGTAAAACTGATTTCACTAATAGGATGCCAAGAATTATTGAACAATAATTATTAATAAGTCAAATGGATAATCAAATTAATTGACACCACAGATGTTAATAATAATAATAATCTTAATGAATTTATAAACCCTATAATTAATAAAATAATAAATCCTAAATGGTCGGTTTTGTTTGCTCATATGAGCAAAGGTGTATTAATATTAAATAGTATAATCGTCACAAATTCATACCCATTTACACAAGTGTATAAATAGGAATAATGAGGTTAACAAAAATAAAAGAAAATGTATGTCGCCTAATCCTTTCACTAAAGATATCTACATTAAAAAAAATAAAATAAATAAGCCTAGAATTGACTATTTTTATTCTTGTTATTATCACTTATGTCATTGATATAATTCAAAGTTGATAATTATACTATGAACACTTGTTGTATGGTCCTCAATATTCATTGGAAAGGTTTTATCACAAAGCATATTTTAGGGACGGAAAATCTGATCTCTTTAGTGTAAGTATGCTAAGTTGATCAAGTGTCTTTCTATATTTATTACTTTTTTCAACCTCCTGAAGTGAGGTTATTAAATAGATTTACCAAGCAAATAAAATAAAAAGATATTTAAATAGTTTTCTTCATGAACTGACTTCACTTTGGAAACAATTGAGAACCAGGTAGAGCTGAACAGTCGTTTCATCCTTTGTCGAGATTCTTAAGGACTGAGTTCGTAAAACTCAGTTGTAAATGGAACCCAGGACCTTTAGTTTCAAGAAGAATTCCTATGACCGGTTGAGTTCAGTTATGTTAGAAGTGAGACATATCACCAATATAAGTGCATAATAATCAAACTATATTGTTAAGTGAGAAATGTTAACCAGTATATTCCGACTAATTAACTCTGCAGCATCGTACCTAATGTGATACTAGAATATCCGAAAATTTCATGGATTTATATTACTGAGAACATGCATACTATAAGGAAACAATTGTCTACCATTCAACACTATTCTAGTTGACATCGCTTCACGATGCCAACTAAGAACAAATTGAACAATCTCCACAAACTTGGTTATACAACAACTGTATATTTACTATTGGTTAATCAATGGTCAGTTAACTAAACAATAATGTAAATAATCTATCTTTACTCATTGTTCAACTATCTTACTATTCAGTATAAAGGAGTAGTTTTTCGAACTAAGATATAATGATAATTGTATTGACCATATATTGTTTGTAAACGGTTGCTAAAATCTCATTTCGTACGCTTTATCTCACTCCATCTAATCACTAAGATAAATAATTTTACTCATTATAGTTTTTAATCTAATTTGAAGTTATTATCTGGGAATTTGTATTTAGCTTTAGGCTTATGTTAAAATGAGGCTTTGTTATTCATAATATGACATAAACTTTAACATTATCACGAGAAAATAATGTAATATGTACTTTGGATATTGAATTGATTTTGTTTTAAACTTAATCACATAGTATATTATTAACTTCTGACTAATTCAGTAGTAACAGTAGTATAAGACTAATTACAGAAATACTTTGTGGGTTATCCAGGTTATTTATTAGTATCATCTCATAAGTTATATGTGATGTAAAATCTAGACATCTGCCCAATATATATATATATATATATATATATATATATATATATATATATTCCAATAATAATAAAATCTCAAAGACGACGAATTCATACCAAAACTTACAATTAAGAGATCATTCATAATTGCAGGGAAATTCAATTGACATGAATTACTTTCATTTCCCAATATAGGATTTAGGAAACTCTTCTGAACCTGATGAACATGACGCGGATTACTGACATTGTTATTATTTATAATATTATTTATGTTTGGAATAAATGAATTTGATAAATTTCCTGAATTAATTTTTTCTAGTGAATTAGCTAGAAATATTGACGATGGCGATGATTGTGCAGTAGATATTGGTGAAATCGCCGTACCTACCGATGGTTGAATTGATGCAGTCTCTGACGTTGAGATCATGGAGTGTTGTTTAAATAAATTCGCAATTGAAGAACGCTGTAGGATGGATTTAAATTTATCTGATTGTGAAGTAATGTTGCTATGAGTGTTAATACCATTATTATTAATAGTATTATTATTACTATCGGCAGTGAAAGCCTTTTCATATTCTTTTCCTATACTACATAATCCATTCGCAATTAAAGAAGAATAAGCCAAAGATAACGCATTTAATGTAGTTTGACCTTGTAAGAAACTATCAAGCTGTTTATTATGTGCTAATTGATTTATATCATTATTAGCAGCATTGTTATTCGTTATTGTGTTTGGGAAAAGATTCCTGACAGGAGTCGAGCTCATTGACGGTAATGTACTACTGATAGGGAATTTCCGATGAGTCGATAATTCGCTTTTGTCCAATTCACTTTGATTCATTGTTTGATTTACAAAATTCAATAGTGATCTATTGAATGGTTCATGAATATTTGTATAATTTATAGATGGTGTTCTATTTTTGTTAATAATATCATTATTACTTGTTGTAATTAACGTTGTGTTGTCTCGATTTTCAACTCCTGATAAAAATGTTGATGATAATGGTGATGATGATGATGATAATGATATTGTTGATGTAGTCACCTCTTTCGTAATATAATCATTATGTTCATTTGGACTCGTATCATTGGAATTTTTTCGTTGAACATTAACTTGTGTATATTCTGGATATGAAGTGACTTTTTTATTCGCCTTTATCATTCCTGATGTAATTGTAGTTGGAGTAATATTATTACTACTACTACTAGTACTAATAGTATCATTAGTAACGTTTATTTCATCATCTTCACTATACTGTTGTTGGTACTGATGTTTTTCATAACATCGTGTTGAATTGTTAGAATTCAATGTTGTCAATAATAAACTTGTTGTTGAGAATACACCATCAAGATTCAATGGTTCTGAACTGTTTTGAGATGAAAGCTAATTTTTTTTTAATAAGCAAATAAACATAGTTATAATTATTATGAATGAACAAATTATAATTACATTTAGCTAGTTACTAATGGAATTATTCGAATATCCTTTAATTTATTTGTTTATCTAATTTACTTCACTTCATTTGTTCATGTATATTTGAGTTATAAACAGCGAACTCCCCACCCACCCACCCCAAAAAAAATAATCACAACTACTATTAATTTTTATACTTTGCTCTTTGTTAAAAATTTATTAGTATACACATTATTATATTAACTTATAGTTATTATATTTAAAGAGTTTTTGAAAATAAGTTGATTAATTATTTAAAGAAATTAAGATTTTTTTATATATAGTTGAAATCATGAGTCAGTTGAAGCTAGACCACCATCGAAAACCTGGAAGCACTGGACGACCGTTCCGTCCCATTGTGGGACTTCTCAACAATGCGCATCCACGATATATAAGCGAATAATATTATTTTCGATTTGATCGAAACTTCGTCTATTTTCCTTCACCCCCCTCTACCACTTTCTTTTTTCCTCAAATATTTGTTACACGATCCAATTATGTGAACACTTCTTATTGCGTAATCTTATAATTTCTATTACTGTTATTTCAGTGTTTATAATTTTATAATGATTGACCTATTTCCCATTATGTAACATTGATTCAAGCCTTTATTATTCTTTACAATTGATTGATCACTGGGTTATGATCAATGTCATAAGTGTCAAGTACTTCTTAGTGCAGATCGAATGCTATCAATCAAGTTTCAATGTAGCCACTAGTATAGGTGACTTGATACTGCGTGCACTATGTTGAGATAAGATGGTGACCACCTTCAACCATCATCTTTATTACTCTTATCACAACTAGTATACCAGTCATCACACTACCAATTTGTACTTTTCACTTATTATGTTTAGTTATGTAATCTATTCCACTGTTGTCATGGACTCATAAACTGCCTTGATTGGTTTAATAATTTCGTATATGCATATAAATATTACTGTATATTAGAGTAAAGCCTGATGAGGAAACAACATTAATATTATAAATAGAATATTGATTAATAACTCCCCCAGTGGACATTAATTGAAGATTATATGCATTATACCATTAAGTAACCACTAGACTTAATGTTTTAAAGTTAACTTATACATTATGTCATATCACTTCACAGTTGTTTTTTTCTTCCTAAAATACCATTCTTGACTGATAAATTAACTGTTTAATACTTGTTTTATAGCTCTTAAACTGATACTTACCAGAGTAATGAATGAGTTTGGTTCTAGACTATATTGTATGTAATTTCTTTAACAAAGTATTCTTTATGATTATAACTACCAATATGCTGACCGAATTTGATATGATTATATTGATAAAATAATTACAGTGATATTAATACACAAAACCTTTTATTCTGTTTACAAACATGGTAGACTAGTAACGTGATTTTAACAATGATAAAAAGATCTAATTTCCCATCAATTGATTATTTGGCTAACATAGTTATAAACCTATTACACATAGTAACTGAATAAATTCTGTAATGTACGAATAATCATACTATTTTGTGGTAGTGTTGCTTAACAAATTAAAATATTTATAGAGCATAACTGGTTGTGTGTAATGGACATATTTAAAGCTGGCATATGTACATCCTGTGTGAACCGACTCGATCTAACCAATATATCACAAATTATTTAGAATAGAACGAGGGCAGCTAGCAGCGGAACTCTAACTTTACTAATATTCAGATAAACATTAACTACGCTTAAGAAGCTAAAGGTTATCTGAACTCAATAGCTCAGTACATACCACTTTCTGAGATCATAGTGAAAAGTACTAGGTTCAGGTCCCAATGCAAACATCAGCCTTGTTATTCAATCACATCGGGCTGATAAATTCCAAATGGGATGAGTTGATCATCCTAGACTTCAGTATTAGTTACAATCCATCGAAACTAATTAATAAATGATCACATGGAAAAAATCCTGTCTAAATCTTTTTCATTTTGCAAAAATATGCGTATTTTTCTATAAGGTCTTGAATTCTATAAACTTAACTTCAAATCTTTATCCCACGTTTTTCAACCGGATGAATAAAGAAAATAATAATAATATAACATACTCATCAACATCTTCACAAATGTTTACAATAAAAGATTTTATATAATATCTCCATATACACTATACCTCAGAAAATAAAATAGAGTAAGTATGTTAGCCATAATTTCAAAGAAATTTTATAAATCAGCAAAACACATACAATAATCCATTTAAACATTATTTAAAAGGTGATATTAGGTGAATCACCCTTGAGTGAATATAAACGAGCCTATCCAGAAAATCTCTATCATCTCATCGGATACATAACAGATGAACAAATATCACATGTATTACAAAATAAAACTTTGTATTTAATTAAACAACAGATATATTAGTTATAATACTTACAACTTTATAAAAAAAATTTCTATAATTTTTACATAGTTGAAGTCATGAGCCAATTGAAGCTAGACCACCATGGAATACTGGAAGCACTCGAAGGCCGTTTCGTCCCAGTATAGGACTCCTCAGCAGTGTGCATCCACGATCCCACGTCACGAGATTCCAACCCAGGACCTATCAGTCTCGCAAGCGAGCGCTTAACCTCTACATCACTGAGCTGGCCGGCATTCAACGGTGTTAATGTATAACTTCAACCAATCCACGAAATTGAGCAACCATCTACACTGTCTTCAGTGAGTTTCTATCTCACAACAGACCTGGTTGAACTCCACTGGTAATTGCTTTTCACTAGAACTACAGGAAATACCTCTTGAAGCCAGTCACTAGTCAGCATATGATCATTATTAGAATGGGGGTTTTGTGGAGATTTTAGTAATTTTATATAATTGAAATCATGATTCAATTGAAGCTAGACCACATTTTATAAAGCGAAATAGATCAGTTAGGTTTTAAGACAAATGAGTAAGTAGTAAAAATTGATTAAATAGATTCCTTAAATTTTACGGAACATTTTTATGGAATTGAATCTTTTTTAAAATTAAATAAACTTTTTTTTGTTTGAAAAACAAGCAAACAAACAAACCTTATTTCATAAGAACTCTTTATTATAGGTAATATGGTCGAAGTAGCTAAACCGATAAGCTACGTTTATTACTAAGTTTTAAAACGGATTAATAGTAAAAAAGATAACAAAATTTAAGACCATAGATATTAATATGGAAGTATCCAACTTACATTTTCATTCATGTTGTATTACTTCGTTGAAAAGAAGTTAACCAAAGATCTTATTTGAATGTATCAGTGAAAACAGATTTATTTCAATATTTAAATTATTAGTGATGATAACCAACACTAATTAGTGAGATTTCTTGTTTATTAATAAATTTATTGAGTAAAATTATGATTATGAATTCTTGTATGTTTCTGTCTATGTATGTAAATGATCAAACAAGCAAGTTTATTTAACTAATATAAGCCAATGAACATTTGTTTTATTTAAGTCTAACAAGTTTGTTTTTAAAAGAGGAGTGATGATAATTGTTTCATGTATCCCTGTTATTTCAGATTTTTTTACGTTCCTGACTTTTTCATGCTGAATACTTTTTTTTCGGGGAGGGGGTTGTATTCAGATAAATACTATAACCTCCATAAGGCACAATAAAATCTACTTAATTGATGACAACAGTAACTGATTCCTCTAACTCTGTTTCCCAAACAACTTGTGTGTTTGATACATAATCCAATAAAACTGTTTTCTTTGTTATCTTACCATTATGATTATTATTGCTCTGTTACATAGAACAAAACAGTAAAATCAGCTTGTTAAAAGCGACATTTATTCACCCCTATGATTAAAACTGTTACTACAAGTAGTTAGTCCGTGTTCTGCTGTTTTTTGTTCTGTTCAACCACTGTTTAACATACTTTACTACCTTCCTTATTATTGGATGCATATAGTACGATGCTCAATATTGATTGGCCTGTTGTAGGATGATGGTGGTTGTCATCGTTGTATTAGATAGTTGTAGTAATAAAAAGATTTTAGTCGCTTCATTATAATGTGATTTTCACACCTACACAGTATTTTTCTCCTTGTCTTTCTGAACGGGAAAACATCATGTTCTCTCTCTTTACATGAACAAACATAAATACAAAATTCTGTATGTATGCATGAATGTATATGTGTTGTTGTTTTGATGTGTTGTATACACAACATTTTGAAATTAATTTCTAACCTTAATATCCATTCTTTTCAACCAATCAGTAAAGACTACGCAAAATACCAGTAAGGAGACTAATTATAAACAGAAAAAAACCTCATTTACATTATAATTAAAACTGATAATAACTCCAACAATGTCAATGATGTGGTGTTTCTTTCAAATTTCGCAACGTTAAATATCAGAGGTCACAATTCATTGACATATGTTTAGAAATTGTGCATTGATAGCCTATTATTAGATACTTAGTTCACAAATGAACATTGTACTAGGTTGTTTTTTATTGTTTACACTAAAAGGAAAGATGCTTAATCAGATTATTAATATTTCTTTATTCAAACATTGTTTCAAACATTAGTTTAAACGATACAGTATGTAACATATATTTTGCTTTATAAAACGCTATTTTGTTTAGTGCTCACTATCACATATTAACATTCTTTACACACTTCATATGTTTAAACAAACGTTGCCTTTCCTTCATATTAACTAAATTTAACAGAAAGACCGACTGGTGTAGATTTGAATTATCTTATTGCCCTGGTACGGCCGAGAGTGGGGAGAGTCCGCTCTCTCCCTCGAAGTGGCCACGCGTACAAAGCCTCTGCCAGGGAAGTCTTACTCACTGCCTTCTCATGACGGGGGTGTTCTTTACGAAATTGAGAGGACGACAAGCGAATGTCCGGCGCTTTAACTGGGTTGGTGGATACAGAAAGTCCACCTAGGGGAGTTGGAAAACCCTGATTCCAAACCAATGGTGAACATG